TGGTCTTTTATTCAACAAGCATATGTGTCTGATAACTCGCATAATGTGCCCAAAAAGGACAAAGTGGAGAGTTGCTGCCATAGATTTTCTGCTTGTGAGTATACCAAGTTCATGGCCCGTCTAATTGGCCCGGTTGGGATTGTGGAGCAGTTGAAGACGAGATTACTTCGGATTCGAGGGCGAATCCTTTTCGACAGGGGGAGAATGATGGAGATAAGGATGTTTAGAATCTTTAATTATTATTATTATTATTATTATTATTATTATTATTATTATTATTATTATTATTATTATTATTATTATTATTATTATTATTATTATTATTATTAGTGGTATTATAAATTTGTTAGGAAACTTATTATTTATCACTTTTTTTAGGATTCTTGTCTTGTTAGACAAGTTAGTATTGTTAGGATTCTTGTCTTTTTGGACAAGTTAGGATTAGGGTTTATGAGCCTTATATAAAGGACTCATCATCTTTTGTTATCTCAAGTTGATTTTGAATAAAAATATGAATTGATTGTGAGTTTTATCGAAAGAGTATCTCGTTTTACGTGTTTTACGAGAGACTATCTCGTTTACTCGTATTGTATCTTTTTCCATTCGTACGCTTTTCCCTACATCATATATACATTTAGTCATTTGTGTTAAAAGGGATATAGACTTTATTTCTCACTTTTCCATTTTGGATTTAGCTATTTTTCAATTTTCTCTCTGTTTTCATGTGCTTGGGAGCATCAAAACACAAGTTTCTCTAACGACGCCATTTTTGACTAAAGTTTCAATCTTTTCGCACTAATATTGTCCGATCTCACAATAGAAGGGTAAGTACCTTGCATAAGATTTATTACTTCGACTTTGGTCCTTTATGAAGTTGTTCAAAGTGGATTGGGTGTCTTGGCCGGAGTTATGCGTTTGGCTTGTTACTTCGATTTCTGGTCCTTTTTGCTGATCAAGTTGTTCGAAGTGGATAGGATGTCTTGGCCGGAGTTATGCGTTTAGGCACGATTTTATGATTGGATATGTATAATCTTTTTTACAAATAATCCACTTGCCTCTGGGTAACAATTGTACCTTATTCACTTTTCTCATATCTTATAAAGAAATTCATAATTAAATAAATCCTAATTTGTAGATTATTTAACCCTAGTTGTATTTTGTTGGTAAGTTTAGTTCATTTGACGTTGCATTGGTGGTGCGCGAAGACGTAGACAATATTGGTCGAACTTTGTTATCAATTCTGGGTGTGTGATTCTTTTATCTTTCTCATCTTTTAGATATATATTTCTGTTGACTTATTTACGTTTAGCAGTAGTATTTGTAATTATTTATTGTGGAAATATTTTGTCTATTGCGCTTGTCGTGATACCCATTACTATTTACTACTACCTCCTATTTTTAATAGATGTAATTTTGAGAAGTTGCACATTAATTAAAAAAAAATAAAATTGTCAATAATAACCTTATTTAATGAAAGATAGAGATGAATGTTTTAAGAAAAAGTGAAGAGTTAATATGAAAAGACGTAATGTATTAGCTAAATGAGGGTAATAATGGAAAAATATGTACAAAAAATCCAAAACGACATTTATTTAGCAAATAATTAATAAAGCTAGAATGACATTTAAAAAAAAAATAGGAAGGAGTATTATATATATCCGAGTCTTCTTTCTTGAAAAAAAAATAATAATAAATGATAAATAAAAACAAATGGCATGTGGTTGAAGAAAATGGGATTATTTTAATTATTTATGCAGACCCAGCAAGCGGGCAGTTGTTTTTCTTGAGCACCAAATTTTGGTCTCATGTGCTGGCCTCAGAGTCAGATGGCCGCACATCAGCACATGCTTGCCCTCACCCTCTTTACTCACTTGATTCCAATAATTCAACCCATTTTCCTATATGTCACAGGATGTTATTAATTTATTACACATCATGATCTTGATATTCAAAGATGTATGGATCAATTGTCCAGCAATTGTAAAAAAATCTAAGTGATTGTACATTTTTAATTACAAGAGTCAATTAATAAAAGTTAAATTATGTGCGTCATACTGCATATAGTGAAAAATGATATTTTGACAAAATAACATAAGTAATGTGCAAGTATATGATTTAATTGTACATTTGGAAAATACAAGATTTTGACATACATACAAACGAACCATCCGATGTTCTGATTAGACTGATTTATAGACCATCTCTAATTATTCACAAATGTCAGTTTTTGACACGTGTTGTACATGAAATTAATAAATACAGTTGAGATATTTGTCAATATTATATCAATTCATAGATCGCTTTATGTGGATATTTGATAATCTTAATGTGTACTTCTCTTTATTTTTAATTCTTCCCTAATTCAAGACTAGTACCTCGTCGTATATTAACCGTGGAATTTGATATAAAATGGCATGCAAATAATATTCATATATAAAAGGTGGGAGATGCTAATGTCTAGTTACGGAACCATTTTGTCGTCGGAATTTGTAACCGTAAGATATAGTTGATCTAACGGTTACAAACCCCGACAGGATGGTTCCGCAACGGAACCGTAACATCTTTGTTGTTTCATGATCCAATATATAGCAAATGGTAAAAAATATGGCACACCACCGACTTTCAGAGTTTTAAGAATGGCCAAGATATTTCAGTACAATTGCAAGCCAATTGGATTAATATAATGGAAAGTGAAGGAAGATATTTGTGTAGTGTCAGGCCAACTTGTTTAGTTAATTAAGTTACTTAACTAGAATTATTCGGTAATTGCCAAGTCGATTTGCTAACAGACATTAACAATTATAGATTGAGACGGCTTTTGTTTGCCTAACATATGTTTGTTTGCGTAAATATCTAGTGTATTTTGATATTGATAAATAAAAATTTATATTTTGGCTGATATGGTGTATAAAACCTCATACAAACAACACAAACAAGGCCAAATCACATTGCACAAATAGATATATAAAAACTTATTTTTTTTTTTGCTTAATCACATATGACACCACTAATTTTATAATTATAAAAACTTTCAAATATATAAATAATTATAATTTTTTTATTAATTTTAAGTGTTCTGCGAGTAAACGAATAAGGTAAACGCGCGGGTCGAATTTTGAGTTTCTACTCTAAATTACCCCAACTTGTATTTTACCTTAAACTCCTCCATATCTAAGTATACTCGACTCGAAAATGCAGGTAACCTAATGATAACTCAAACGGGTTTTACTTATTGTCACGCTAAATTAAGATTTGAAAATGCACAACAATTAATGGGAATTCAAATGTACAGCTTCCAAATTACAATAGTCCAATATGAGTGGCACTATTTTTCACCTCGGCCGGTGCACTGCCCGAAAATCGTGCCATAATTTGTGCTGTGCTTTTGTTTGATGTCGTCCTTTCACATCAAAACCAAGCATGTGCCTCAATTATTTGATCCCTAATCTCAAAGCTGATTAAAGTACTTACACGTATCACATGGAAAAAGAATCATATACAGACCTCCACAGACTAACTACCATGTTCCAAAAAACAAAAATAATAATAACTGCCATGTGACGACACGATACGGCCTCATTGAAACCATCATACCATTATTTATGTTCAACAAATTATAATTTACAATTAACTTATTACAATTGACGAAACATCTAACAACTAGCCATTCAAAACCTAGTTCCCGTCAAGCTCATTTACTTTATTCTAAAATCAATTAGCTATAGAAAGAGTTAGTCCACCAATCTTATATATTGAACTTGAAGCCTTTAATTTTTTTAATGTGGGATTAAGTTTGCACACCCTACAAACCTCATCTCAAACACAATTGAGCCTCTCCTTTAACGAAATCATACGATCCGACCATCTTGTACCATTGTTCTCACACACGGAACCTGTCGCTTGACCACCCTTTCGCTAGGAAGAATTTCGACACAAGGCACGCGGATCCACCGGCCTGTCCACCGGCTCACACGGGAACATGTCACGTCATCCACATCGTAACTGTGTTATCAACAACTCAAAACTCAATTCTCCATCAAACACAACATACAAGCCCAAGTGGTGTTCCATTCTAAAACCAGTTGGCTATAGAAAGAGTAACCCACCAAACTTATATATTAGATTTAGAACCTTTAATTTTTCGATGTGAGATTGAATTTGTACACCTCTTTTCCTTAGTTTAAGTTATTATTATAAGATAATTTTTTAATTCGTTGATCCACATAAAAAAAAAAAAAAAAATAAACTCAAATAAAATAATAAAACAGAAGATATTTACATGAACATTAAATGAAAAAAAAAAAGTTGAGTAAAAAATCGTTGAAATGTCAGACAAAATACATTGTTTATTCCAAATTAAATCAATTAAAAAAAAAGGTAAAGAAAATCATCACATGTATGGCCAGTGGCCACGTTAAGGGCATATGGGAATTATTTTTTTTTGGTAAACGACCTTCTGGTTTCCAGATTCACATGGGAACCGACTAATCCGGAATCGAGCCGGGTAAGACCACAAGAGCGAAAAAGCTCTCCCTCAAGATTTTTAACACTGCTGCATTCCTAGGGCTCGAACTCGAGACCACTGATTAAACTGGAAGAGACCCAAGCCATCTTATCCAAGCACTCTTGAGTGCCATACGGGAATTATGGACTCTCATAAATGGAACAAAACCGATAATTAATTTATTCAATTTTTTTAAATAAAATTTTAATTTGACGCTTCGATAAGACCATTTAATCCCACCACTTATATATACAAAACAACCCCAACTCTTGAACTTCATCCTCAGTTAGTAATTAAAAATAATTAAAAATCAAATAAAACTAAATTAAGCTGCCCCTCTTTTGGGCTCTGTTTGGTGGCATGGCAATGGCTAAGCTCACTGCTCTTGTTCTTCTCCTCGCACTCATTGCCATCTCCACCCTCTCCACCACGGTATGTTAATGTGTTCTCCAACACCAAACATGGCCTTAATCAATATACACAATTTATTTATATATTTGTGGTTTTTTATTATTTGGTTTTATATATTTCGCAGGCACTGGCGAGCCAATACCAACTTGACTCGGTGAGTTCCTCGGATTTCTAGTCAGTTAGAGGGACTAATTGATTATTAATTTCACATTTTTTGTTATTTTTTTTTTTTTTTGTTTCTTTTAACATATATTTGTGTCTCAATATTTCAGGCACGATATGGTCCTGGCAGCTTGAAGATCGGCCGTAAGCCTTTCCTCACTCTCACTCTCATTTTCATTTATTGTATCCCAATTTATCGTATGAGGCAGTCTACTCGTTAGACGAGTTGACTTGTCATACTTTATTGATAAATTTTTGTATGAACCGACCTAATTATCTTTTAAGGAGATTCTATAGTCCCGTTACGGAACCATTCCGTTGAAATTTGTAATCGGTTACATGATGATCTAACGGTTACAAGACCGTAGCATTTCCCTTATATTTTAAAGCAATAATTATTTGACAAATAACTAATTGGGTTAAATGCAAATAAAAATTACCAGAATGCGGCTCTGAATGTTCGAGGAGATGCAAACGGACACAGTACAAGAAACCGTGCCTGTTCTTCTGCAACAAGTGTTGTAGGAAGTGCCTTTGCGTGCCCCCGGGGTATTATGGTAATAAAGCCGTTTGCTCGTGCTACAACAACTGGAAGACCAAG